TGCAGCACCAATAAGTGTTAAATTGAGCTGAGCCAAGAGGAGAAGTTTCTAGAACACTTCCTTGAGATACTGTCCTTCCTCTTTTCAGCATGGGGGGGGTTTCTTGGCAGCTTTCTTGAACATAGAAGGCGTTTAACATACCTACAGGTTTGACTGAGACTTGCGGTGAGGAAACAAACAGATGCATAGTTTCCATTCAATGAGCACCTTTTGACTGTAAGACATACATATTAAACCACGTTTAACTCCTGCAACAACTCTGAGGAGGAACTATTTTGGGGCCCTGAGGGTCAAAAAATGTGGTAAAGGAGACTGCCCACAATCATATGACTGGCAGCTGGGGAAACCATGTGTAAGCCACAGGCTTGGACACTGAGTGCATGCAAACTGCTGCAAGATACCACCTTTGCTCTCTGCTTTCACAAAGGGCCATGGAAGAGGCATGGATACTCACGGTATAAGGTGATAGACAGCTAGTGCAAGACCCAAAAGGAGTAGGGGTCTTGAAGACTTTTTCCTGAACTCCCTGGAAGCTTCATGACACTCGTCATGAGTCAATCTAAATCTGCCTGGTTTGCTTCAAAAGTCAAGGTGGCAATAATAAGGAGGCAAATCTAAGGAGATGGAGTGATATACCCAGGTTTTTGGTCAGCCCCAAGGTATAATACAGAATTTATCATATGCCCAGTGCGGCTGAATATTCATCTATTTAGAAAATTCTCATCTGTCTATTTCCACAGTGCCCCCAGAAATGCTCTCAGCAAGCCTAACTTTGAGCCCTGGCAGAGAAGAGGTTACATGTTTATGTAAACTAGCAGTATTAGCATGGCCCCTTGTCCTTCTATTTCACTGACCCTTCAACTTGGAGAGTTCTAATCTCCATTATTCTTGGGAGTCTACAGACTAGGAAGCCTGCTAATGTGACTGAGAAGTCAAAGGGAATTTTTGATATTACACTATGTGTAGAAAGCCATTACTTTCTCTGGGTTGAGGAGAAGGGTTGTCATGATGGGCACTGGTAATCATAGTCTTTTCAATATTCCTCTCATTTTTGTATCACAAGAGGACTGTCCACTGGCTCTATTTCTCCTACAATCTGTGGTCATTATTTCAGTGGTCAGAGTCTCAGTGAGCTATTCTAGCAGCTCTCCCACCCTATGCCCCTGGATGAAAGACTTGTTCTCTTTGTCCCTTTTCCACTGCTCAAAAAGGAAATACCCAGAGCAAGAATGTCCCAGCAATCTCAGAGCTACCCAACTTGAAAAACACTTCTCCAACCAAAACCTTTGTAAAGACTCTGAGACCCTGTACAGAACACACAAAAGATGTGTACCTTAAAGCTCCTGGATGCAGGAAGGAACAAACCATGGGAATTAGTATAATAAAAAGAGGGGCATGAAAGAGATGTCTTGTTGCCGAATATTTGTTTACACTGTGTGAAAGTGAGTCACTATGATTAGTTTAATAAAGAGCTGAACGGCAAAAGTTAGGCAGGAGAGATTAGGTGGGACTTCCAAGAAGAGAGAGGAACTTGGGATGAATTTAGGTACACAAGAGACACCAGTGAGTCACTGAAGGAGTTGGACATATGTCCTCTGTAGAGGAGAGGTAACTGAGCCATGTAACAGAACAGAGATTTTAAAATATGGGTTAATTTAAGTTATAAGAGCTAACCGAGAAAAAGCCTAAGCTAAGGCCAAGCTTTCATAATTAATAGTAAATGTCTGTGTTGTTACTTGTGAGCTGGTAGAACAAAGGAAAGTCAGACCATGAATGGTGTCCAACGTGGTACATGTAAATCCACATAGGACCTGAGAAAGCTAGGGGGAAAATTCTGAACACAGAGGATACAGCTTCCTGGTGCTATGGTCTCTTAAACGAGCTCTATGATGACCACATACAGAGGAACTGTGGGACAATGGTCTATACCCTGTCACTTGTATTCTAAATAAATACTGATTGGTCAGTAGCCAGGCAGGAAGTATAGGTGGGGTTACCAGGCAGGAAGTAGAGGCAGGGCAAGGAGAACAGGAGAATTCAGGGAAGAGAAAAAAGCTCAGTCTGCAGTCATCACCCAGACACTGAGGAAGCCAGACACAGAGCAAGCAAGGTACCAAGCCATGAAGCTAACATTGTCAAAAATAATGGGCTAATATAAGATGTAAGAAAGAACTAATAAGAAGCCTGAGCTAATAGGTCATTCCGTTTATAATTAATGTAGACCTTTGTGTGATTCTTTGGGACTTAATGACTGTAGCACTGGACAGGACAGAAATTTCTGTCAACACAGAGGCACAGCTACTTGCTGGATCCAAAAGGGGCAGAGTCAGATGACTGTGCCTTATGCTAAGCAAAGTCGTGTGGTGGGTAACCTAGCTGCTGCCTAGCAGTTTAAAATTTGGCTCACACAGTCAAAGAAGGTTGCAGACATGCAAAAATTTAGGTGCAGACCTAGAAAATCTCTAAACAGGTGCAGTATGTTTGAAAATATGCTTAGGTACTGAAGAAATAAAAGAAAATGAGTGCAGATGATCCTAGAAAAAATAGCTTAAAATAATAAACTGAAGTCTTTAAGGAAAGATCAAAGTAATATAAAAAGAATAAGCCACAGACGGATGGGAAATCCATAGGGCATCTGGACCCTATATGATGCTTTGTTGACTTTAACTTTTTTGAGTCCTGATGAGCAAAGGGAAAAATGCTGCCGAGAGACATTGAATTATAGAAAAATCTGCTAAATTAAATCATTCTATACATTTTACCTTCTCAAACATAGAACAGAGACATTGTTAGCTTATTTGTGTATACCACACATTCATACAGATATGCAGATAGGTATGTAGGTATGTTACCTTTAAAAGAATAAAAGGACCAGACACCAATAAACACAGGTAGTCCAGATTATCCAGCCTCACAGAAAGTCTCTGTTGCTGTTTCCACAAAAATCTGCATCCAGAACAACTTCAAAACTGCTAGTTGAGATAAACCAGCCTTGCAGGCTACTCGGCCAGGACTTCATATAAGCCCTGCACTTTCCTATTACACAGAGACTGGACAATAAATGATACAGTTAGCTCTCCTAGGACTTAATCATTATCTCAATTTTCCCAGGGTCTCCTAAAGATGCCATTGCCCCCAGACAACAGGAGGTAATTTTAGGAACATGATGCCCACATTTCCAAGAGATGAGGTGAATGGTTTTTAGTCATATGGTGGATTATGGATATTTGTTATGGTTTAGAGTGGTTGGTTTCCAATTATTACTTAGGAAACTAAATAAGGGAGAGTAGATTCAAGGATCTCTTTATGAAAAGAGAAAAGAGAGACACAGGAATGACAAGATAAAAGGGAAGATTATTGAATCTACTTGAACAAAAAGGCTGGGAAGCCAACAGAGACTGCTGACCTGAGCTCATGGGAACTCATGGACTCTGTACCAACAGTTAGGGAGTCTCCATCAGACTGGCCTAGGCTGTCTTCATGTGGTGTGACAGTCTTTTAGCTTGGTCTCTTTGTAGGACTCCTAGCAGTGAGATTAGGACCTGTCCCTGGAACTTAGCTGTCTTTTGGGAATCTGTTCTGCATGCTGGATTACCTTACCTTGCCTTGTCATAAGAGGAGGAGTTCAGTCCTGCCTCAACCTAATGTGCCATGGTTTGCTCAAGCCCATGGGAAGTCTGTCCCTTTCTCAGTGGAGACAGAGAAGTGGAAGGGAGGGGTGTAGATAAGAAATGAGGGAGGAGTAGGGACTAGGAGGAAAGGAGGAAGGGGAAGCTGCAGTCAGTATGCAAAATAAATTTTTAAATGTTATTTAAACAAAAGAAAATTAAAATGTGATAATAATTATGTCTTCCAAAATGAACATAATGGCATTGTTCTCCATTTTTGCAAACTATCTACTGCCTGGCATAGTAGAAGTCACCTAACTACTCGTTGCTCTTCTTCAGATCTGGTCGAAGTTTATGAAGAAAAGCCAACTTTATACAGATAAATAATTGGAATAGTAAGATAATTGGTACCCCTTGCATTGATTTTTGAGAACCCACGAGCTCTTTTGAACACATTTTGAGAACTGTAGTTTAATAATAGTTATACCTGATTCCAAAGTCAAATAGTACAAAAAAATGAATAAGTCTTTCTCTCTTTCCCAGGTTCCACGAGTGTTAGCACTTTATTGGGTTTTCTTCCAGAGATACCAGAGACATCTCAAAGTGGAAACCTGAACAGGAACCATTGAATAATCACAATACACTTGCTCACTTTTCTGGTCTTCTATCTTCTTTTAAGTCTGAATATAAGGTTGTATATGGTTGCAAGTAAAACTAATCAATACTTACACACCCCCAGCAAAATCCTTTCCTCATAACCTGTAATTTGTAAGATAAATTCCTAAAAATGTAATTTTTGGAACAAAATATATACCCACTACATCGTAGATATAACCAAACAATCCCTGTGGCAGAAAACTTGATTTCCACTTTCAGCAGCAAAAGGAAGACATGACATTTCCTGCACACATGTGCATACTCACACATACTCACACATACTCACACATACACACACTCACATACACACACACACACACACACACACACACACACACACACTACCACCACCACCACCACCACTCCAAAGTTAGAACTGACTCCAGAACTCCAGTGGCCCTCAGTAAGCCTCAGAATCAGAATAGGACCTAGTTTCTATCTATATAGAAACAGAGATTGTAGTTTTCTATCTATACAGCTTAGTGGATCTGTCCTTAGGTCCCATACCCAAAAATAAATTATTAATAAAAATCCATATCTGGTTATGCCTGACTATTCAGATTCTGTGGCCACCTCCATGCCCATATCATCTGACTGACCCCAACATGTCTTACTAGACCCTGAGTGAGTGCATCTTTACAATGTGCTTTTTCACTCCAACCACCTCTCTCCTAGGTGTCTCTTGAACTCTATGCAGACTTATATCTCACTAGACCATGATACAGTCACATAGCAACTTGTAAACAGTTGCCCCAGGGATCAGATGAAAGTTCAGACTTCCATTCAGTAGTCTGTGGGACAGTCTGTGTTTCTGATTGGCCCTCAAGTCTTTCCATCACTGAACAGCAAAGGTCTGAGAAGGATTCTCAAAGTCTAGCATAAATAAGAAGCACTCTGAGCTTATTAAGACAGCTCCTCCCCCCGAGAGGGGATGGACCCAGAAGCTTGGTGTCCAGCTAGATGCTAATGATACTGTTGCACCACGTCACCTGGAGGGACATTGGTTCCTGGCTTTGTCTGATTCACACTCCCGAGGACTCCAGGAAAGACACATGCACTTCAGAAACATGACATGCTTGGTATAAAAGGGAGCAGACATCAGATACAGCGGGATCCGGCTATATCGCAGCTTTCAGGTATGTGCACTAGATTGTCTGAGGCTTGCGCTTGGGGTACAAAGGACGTGTATCATTTTCTCAGGCTCTTCTTTCCTGACAAACCCCTCCCTAGGCTCAGAACACAATGTGCTGCTGTTCTGGGAAGCATCCTCCTTGCAGCTTTGTGGTCCTACTCTGTGGCATTTACCAGTAGAAACAGTGACCCTCAGTAAGCCTCAGAGTCAGAATAGGACCTAGAAGTAGGTATCTACACAAAGCATGTAGGACACAGGAAAGGATAGAAGCAGGAAGCCAGAACTGTGTTCATAAGCTCTCAAATCCTGCCCCCCTGTGTCTGATTTGTGCATCTTGCTGTGACTGAAGGCTTGAAAGGAGGAATTGTCTTACTTCACACTGCCATGCAGTGGGCATGGCCAGGACAGATGCAGCTTAACATATATAAACATTGGAGGGGGGTCTACTAGATGAGAGAGAAACCTGTAATGAGCAACGTTTACTCGTCTATTTTCGTTGTTAGGTAAGTAATCGTAGAGCTTAGGCTACACCCTGGCCTAAGTTATTCCGAGGGACTAAAAGCTACAAAAATCATTGACAGGCAGACAGCTAAGGAAAAGACTCACAAAGAGACAACAAACAAGGCAAATTCCCAGGTTCTTCCTAGCCCTTTATTCCAATCTAATTCCCTGCTTGCATTTTGTACAGGTCCCCAGACTATTTCATTCACTCAGGACCACAGTCTACCTTTTTTTTTTTTCCTATCTTGCTATTCTTTAAAATGCTCTAATGCAGTGGTTCTCAACCTTCCTAATGCTGAAACCCTTTAATTCAGTTCCTGTGTTGTAGTGATCCCCAAGCATAAAATTACTTTTGTTGCTACCTCATAACTGTAACTTTGCTACTGTTGTGATGTAAATATCTGATATGCAAGATATTTAATATGCAACCCCTGCAAAAGGGTCATTCGACCCTCAAAGGAGTCGCGACCCACATGTTGAGAATCGCTGTTCTAATGGATTATTCCTATGAGTATGCATGCATATACTTCTGTCTTACGTACATCCTAGGAAATTCCCTTCAAAGTGACTGTTTTCTCACAGTGTCTGTCCACGATTCCTCATGTCTACCAACTAGTAATAGAAGTCTTTTCTCTGGTGGGTTTCATCACACCTGGGTTTGAATGGCACTAGCAGTCATATGGCTACCCCGAGTGAAGCTGGTCTGAACAGGGCAAGGCAGAAAGACTGTCTAGGGAAAAAAGACCCTATAGGGAAAAGACCGTATAGGGAGTCTCAGGAGGAGCTGCACAGCTGCTCAGTTAATCAGCCGCCTTGTAGTCAAACCTCCAACTTGGGATTTTTCATCATTTAAATGTGCTCATTGAATACATATCATCTGAGTTATAACTATGAACACAAGAGATCTCACAGTAAGAATGTAACTTATTGGAGAACAGTAAGCAAGTAACTAAATTATGTCTTTTGTATGTTAGGTAGTGATAAATAAAGCAAGGAAAGGACCACAAATTCTTTTTTAAGTGAGATGGTTAAAGATGACCTTACTGAGACAAAGGCATAGAAATAAAGGAAGTAAAAGAGCATAGGCTCAAGGACTGTGCCTGGAGCACACAAGGCCTCAAGGTAAGACATTCAACAGGAACCAGGAGCAGAAACTCAGTTGCAGAAAGAACGGGAATGAGCAAATATAAAGACAACTCTTTCAAGTAACTGTTGTAATGAAGAGTGAAGAAACAGAGTGCCTGGAGATGGAAGTAGCTTCAAGAATTTTTCTTTGATGCTTGTTTGCTTTCTTACTTAATACAGAAGTGTGTGTGTGTGTGTGTGTGTGTGTGTGTGTGTGTGCAGAGACATAATACATTAGGGCCTTGTAAAAAGCTAACAAGACAAAAAATATTAGATTGTGGTCATGAATAGGTGAAATAGGCTGGGATCCTGCACAAAATTAGAGTGAGCTACATAAATGAGAATTTATCTATGAAACAGGACTGAAGGCAGAGTTGAAGGACACAATAAAGAGGAATATACAAAGAAGAAGCTGAAAGTTTAGATTCTATTTCCTCAGTGAAATAGAAAGCAAGAGTGTCAGAGAGGATGTTGAGGAATTAAAAAAAAAAGACAGAAGAATCTAAATATTGACCTGTGGACAGAAACACAGCTGACAGATGTTAAATATAATTTTAATAGAGCCTTTTAATATGCCTCATCTGTAGAGCGACACCAGTCCTTATGGTTGTGTGATTTTCCCCCCAGTAACATCCAATTCCATTGGTGCGGAACGTTGGATCTAATGAAGTCTGAGATTTTGCTAACTGAACATGACAAGATCATAAAAAGGTAAAGAAGTTGAAAATGTATGTGGGGCATTGGTCTTATTGTCTGCTCATGGGTTTTAGAATGATGGGTTAGAAAAACATGGGAAGACTTAAAAATCTGGGGAAATTTTGAGCATCAGAGGCATTCAGGTCCCACAAAAACCTGGACAGTGAAGTGAGTGGTGGTCAGGGGCCAGGATGTCTGCAACGGAGACTGTGAAATGCTGCAGATATTGGAAATAAAAAGATCCAGGAGCTGATCATGAGGATGATTGAGTTCAAGGAATTCCTTGACTAGGGACTTAAAATTAACTTGATCATTGAGATAGAAGGTAAACAATGATCTTGAATCCTTTCATTTTAGTACAGTCTTTAACATGGTAATTCTATGGCTCCTCTTTGAGTGTGGATTGGCTATGTGAGTTTCTCTGGTATTAAAATGCAGAAGAAGGAAGATTGTACCTTAGGAGACTCTTATACTAGCCTGAGGCCGTCATGTAACAAACTCCTAAATGGATTGATTCAGCATCCACTAAGAGTTAAGTTGAGGCACTCTACACACAACAGAGCAGAAAGGAGGATATCTCAAAAAGTGGAAAGAAGATCTAGAGACAAAAAAAATCTGTTTTGCCACTGGATGAATGGGGGTTACAAGCATTTTGGGTGGCTTGGGATGGCCACCCATGTTGGATTAGTCAACTTAGGCAAAAAGGGGAACTGATAGGTTGTTCATGAACAGCTTTATCAAATCTGACCAGTGTGGACCAGTCAGCCAGAAAAAAAGTCCTTGCTAGCCTTTGTCTCAGATCAGAAGGGTGAGGAAGAAGCCAGAAATTCGCCATATTTATTATTTGACTTTGAGTCCTTTCCTTACCTGTTTGCCTGTCAAGGGTCTCTCTAGACTGTAGTCCTTCAGAGTAACTTATGGCAAGTAGACATTGCTCTTTATATGTTCCTCTCTCATCTAATAGACACATCTCCACTATATACATATGTCGTAGCAAAACTAAGGACTGTGTGTGTGAGTATATATATGTAGGATGGGGTTTGTTTTACTCTCTTGAAATGTGATGGGTGATACTTGATGTGGGTTGGGGAAAGAAATGACACTATCCCCAAGCTAAAAACCAATGGACAAAGTCTTCGTGACACTATCTGGAGAGTCTGGGAAAACAGTGCATAAGGCTCTGGGTCAAAGGCTCATAGAAGGTATTGTTGTGATACGAAAATATAGGCATGCCTTGGAAGTTTTTGGAGGGAATGCTACATTTTTTCAACGAAAAAATTTGAAGTTTTTATAGACAACATTTATTGCTTCTTTCGTTTCCACATTAGGGTGCATGAAAGCTATGGGCTATTGAATAAGGAACACCTGGGTAGTGACTTGCTAGAAACCCCACGAAACTTGCCTCTACCTGAAAATGAGAGCCCTGGTTGTCAATGTATGGTGATTTCTATGGTGGACAGTTACAAGCTTCCCCAGTGCTGTATGGAGATGGAACATATGCACACAACTGACACGTATGGGCCACGACAAGCATCCGGCATCACCCTGGGTCTGCGTACTTCTTATCTTTTCCCAGACACTTCACAAATGAGCAAACTACAGGAAATTACTGCTGGAAGATTCCAGACTCTAGGGATATACATGAATACTGGGAAGGGGTCCTGGGGAAGACTTCTACAAGGAGATATTCACAGGCCTGGGAGAGTCAATGACAACATGGGCCTTCTGGGTCTTCTACAAACATAGCCAGGGCCATGCCTCCTTAGCAGAAGTGTGCCCTGGAAGTGTTGCAACCTGACAACTTAGGGAGAGCACATAAAGCTGGAGTCCCTCAGTAGGCAGATGGCTGCTGAACATGGCACCTGACAATGCTGAACTCAACCTGCCTTTATCTTGGCTAGAATGTCCAAAGGTCTGGGCTCCTGAGGACCACCTTGCCTCAGATGATATTATTCCCCAACTTTTGTTGACGCTGCTATAAAGCTGCCAGCCTAGCTAGAAGTCCTGTTTGTCAAGCCAGTGTCTTTCCTCTTCAACACCAACAGGAGTAGCAGAAAGCAGAATTCTCTGCCTCAGTTATCCCTGACTGCCAAAGCCCAGTTTTCCCGGTGAGGGCTCACAGTAAAGACATGAAGGAAGGACCACAGGGACAGAACTGATAGGAAATGAAGGGCCCCTCTTGACACTTCAGCAGAAGAGTTTCTCTCTTCCTGCCGTGTGCCTTAATTTCCAAAGATCACTGTGCTGGTGTGGATTAGGTAGTCAGGAAACATTCACTAAGGACCCTAGAAGGGAGAGAAGTGAAGCCCAGCGAGATCGCAGGACTGAGGGAGAGGGTGCAGTGTGCTTTACTAATAGGTATTTGGGTCAAATCTAGAACTCTGGCCAGTAACAACATACTGAAATTTTCACTTATTTTTCAAATTTTTAGGTATTTCACATGGTCCACTTCACAGGGGACAATTCAATACACGAACAGTGTGTATTGGTCAGCCAGACTAATGGGATGTCTCTGAATACCTCGACAGTCTTCTTTAGCTATTTTGAAATATTCAAGTATGTGTTATCAACCATAGTCACCTGACTGTGCTATAGAGCCTGAGAGTAGTCCTGTCTGGCTTCAGCCCTGTCCTGTTAACTGTCTGTCCTCTCTCCACCTTTCTCCCAAACTCTCCTCAAGCTCCATAACCTCAACTTGGCTTTATATTCTGGGAGACCATCTTTCTAGAGATTTCATAGCATGATTCACATGTAAGAACTGTCATTGACAATCTAGAAAAATCACTTTCTGTGTTACCCATGCAGAAACCTAGTAGGGAGAGAAGGAATACAGACATAATGGTCAGAATGTCTGGTAATGACAAACTTTAGAACCAGATCACTGCTTGACAGCCAAGTCCCTGATATTCACTGTCTGGGGATGAAGGAGCATTTCCCCCACGGTTGCATAGCTTCTTTGCAAGGTATACATTCATTAAACTCCCCGATTCCAGATCAGGAATTTAAACTCAAAGAAACTGGTTAATTCATCCAAGGTCACACAACAATTGTGTTACAACAAAGCACATACTCCCTGTTATGGAGGAGTCTTCTAAAAACTGACTGGAAAGAATTCAAAAGATGTACACTCACGATGTAGAAGAAGTTCTACAGTGGCAAGCTACCTATCGGGTCTTTTGTTTATCCCAAAGCTGAAGAAGGATGCTTAAAAGAAATCCCACAGTAGCTCAGAATTGAGAATAATAGATGGCTATTTATTTAGCGGTAGACTCACAAATCAGAATCCTCTGCTGGAACAGCAACCAAATCCCACAGGCTGAAAAGAGGCCGGACACACGCTTTATATTGGCATAAATAGTATAAAGGCCACGCCCCAGTGGGTGGGTAACTTAAGGGCTACTGACTCTAGGATATCCTATAGCACCAGCAATCCTGGTATAACAATAACGATAATAAATAACTCAGAGCTCATTTAATCAGAATCCCATCTTCCATCTAACTCCTATGAGGTCTCACCTTTTGGATCCAGGCATATCTTCCTACCTGAGTCCATTTTTCCTTTCTGTCTCCAGGTCATATCCTCCTTCTAGCCTTCTCATGGTGCTCACAGGGGGCTTCTGAGTTAACTGTAAAGCTAGGTATACCATATAAAGGTCATATGATATGGGTCATCCTAAGCCAAACGATCAACCTGTTACCTTGAGTATCAACCTATAAAGTGATAGGTTGTTCTACTAAGAATTCACTGTCTCAACTATAATAGTATCAGAGAGGAAGGAGTTTTTCATTACACAGTGTTCATGGCCCTGTCTACCAAATGTCAGTTGTAACCCCAGTTTTTTAGGCAACAATGACGGCAGGGAAGGAGGAAGGAAGCAAGAAAGGACAGAAGGAAGGAAAAAAAAAAACCAAAGGAAGAAAAACCTTTCTAAGTGCTGACAAGGCCATTACCCCCTTCACGGAGTACCTTCATAGGACAAAATACATGAACTTGTTAGGTTTTTCTCTCTTTTCCATGACTGTCCCTCCTCCTAGAACCTTTGTAGAGACACCAGGAGCACAACCAGCACTTTAATTAGAGGCAGGAAATTGCAATAGTTGCAGGACCGCAACTAAACACCCTGGGTTTCAGCCCAGCTCTCATTCTCCTGTGGTACAGTTCTAAAATTCTGCACCTCTGAGTCATCACCTCTAAAATGAGAATAAATTGGAGCCTCAAGAAGTTTTGCATACTAAGTCAAGTATCTAAGCCCTTGGCCAGGGGGTTACTTAGGAATCCTTAGTTTGCTCAGTGTTTTAAAATGTTCCCATTTGGGTTCTCCTTACATACCCACAGCTGAAATCATTGAGTATATTATTTACACACTTATTTGTTTGTTCTGTGACTCTCTTAGATTACCGGGTTAATGCGGGCAGAAAGAATGTGGGCCCCTTTTCACCTTTTTTACTTCAGGTTTTGATAGACTCTAGGTGCTGGTAAACAGTTCACTTAGTTGAAAAATGTAACCATTTCCTTGTGCTTGTTTTCCAGAGACCAAAGCATTTGAGAACAAAGTAAATATAGAGGCCATTTTCCCTGACCTGTAGAAGAATTCACAATGGAGACTTCAGCCACTACAGAGCCCTACTACAACACAGACACCAAGAATGACTTGTTTCCTGGAATCTTATGTGGGAGCATGGATGTGCGGGAATTTGGAATTACAGTGCTGACGCCCCTGTACTCCCTGGTGTTCATCATTGGTGTGATAGGCAATGTCCTAGTGGTTCTGGTGCTGATACAGCACAGGAGGCTTCGAAGTATGACCAGCATCTACTTATTCAACCTGGCTATCTCTGATCTAGTCTTCCTCTTCGCGTTACCTTTCTGGATTGACAATATAATAAAAGGAGACTGGATTTTTGGTGATGCCATGTGCAAGTTCCTCTCTGCATTTTATTACCTGGGCTTGTACAGTGACATGTTTTTCATCACCCTGCTTACAATTGATAGATATCTAGCCGTCGTCCATGCTGTGTTTGCCCTGCGGGCCCGAACTGTCACTTTTGGCATCATTACCAGCATTATCACCTGGGTCCTGGCCATCTTGGCTTCCATTCCTTGTCTGTGTTTTTTCAAGGTCAAGTTGGAGTTAACTTACAATACCTGCAGAGCAGATTTGCCCAAGGAAAGCCTGAAATATTTTTTGAGGTTTCAGGCTGTAACAATGAACCTCCTTGGACTAATTTTACCTCTCTTGGCCATGATTATCTGCTACACAAAGATTATCAATGTTCTACATAGAAGACCCAATAAGAAGAAGGCCAAAGCTATGCGTCTGATTTTTGTTATCACGCTTCTCTTCTTCCTCCTCTGGACCCCCTACTATCTGGCTGCATTTGCTTCTGCATTTGAAGACTTCCTATTCACTAGTGGGTGTGAGAGAAGCCAACAGTTGGACCTAGCCTTGATGGTAACTGAGGCAATTGCCTACACCCACTGCTGCGTCAACCCATTCATTTATGTCTTTGTGGGTGAGCGGTTCCGGAAGTACCTCCGGCAGCTGTTTCAGAGGCGTACGGCTATTTCCCTGGCAAATTGGCTGTCCTTCCTCTCTGTGGACCAAACACAGAGGACCAATTCCATGTCTCCATCCACAGCAGAGAATGAGCTCTCTGCTGGTATCTAATTCAGATCCCTGGATGCCAACAAAGATCCAGGAGAGAGTGAAAAAATAGTGACTCTCCAAAATAGATACTGACTGAAGACTCATTGTCTTGTAGATCAGCGGAACCTTGCAGGTAGCTTAGATATAAGTCAACTCTTTGATGTTTCTTTAATGATTGCAATTATCTTCTTCCTGTCAGAAAGGAGATGTATGAACAAATTGTGACATTCCAAAGACCAGGTCAATAGGTTTCAGGGAAGGGCTTAGATACAATAAGAGGTAGCATTTGTGGTCATTAGGGCTGTCAAATAAAGTGAACCCTACAATGATTGTGGAACCAGTTAAGTCTACGATTGTTTGAACTCTGAACCTGGAAGTCAATGGCAGACAGATCACAGATGCCTTCTCTGCTGCACCCCCACTGCAGGGCCTGAACTCTTGAAAACCCTTAAATTTAAGATCTATATTAAGGCACTGCTGTATCATTTGGGTAGTAAAGTCACTAGAGAGAGATTTATACTTGTTAAAACCAAAGACTATGGCAAGTCAATAAGAAAGGACATTGACCTTGCCTGTTTATATTCTTCTCCCTAAGGGAAGTGGCCTCTTAGTATATAATATAACGTAATATAATTAATATAATATATGTAGTGTATGTTAACTTCAGAGATGTTAGCCTAATCCTGCTGGTTCTACATATCTAGTCTAGAAAAATAATTCCTAGTGCATTGTCTTTGGTTAACAGCATGACAAATATGTACAGAGTGTAAGAAGCACTCTGGAATAATTTTGCCATGCTTGACCATGGAACTCAGTTCATCTAGTGGTTCCATTTTCAGTGGCTGCCACCTGCTTCCCCCAGGAGAACTTACTTTGGTGTGGGAGAATTGTCTGTATTCTGCCAATCATGTATTTTAATAAAACACTGATTGGCCAGGTAGGAAGTATAGGCAGGTCAACCAGACAGGAAGTAGAGGCGGGGCAGTGAGAGTAGGAGGAGGCTAGGGAGAAGGAAGCTCCCTCCGCCACTCCTGCGCAGACCACCAAAGAGACAGGATGTAACCTGCCCAGCTGAAAAAGGTACCAAGCCATATGGCTAACATAGACAAGAATTATAGGTTACTGTAAGATGTAAGAATTAGTAAATAAGAAGATTGAGCTAATGGGCCAATCAGTTTATAACCTAATGTAGACTTTGTGTGATTGTCTTCGGGATTTGCCGGATGTGGGGTACCAGGCAGGACAGAAACCCCAACAAGCCGGCCCTCATGTTACTTTACTTGGTTTGATAACTCTATTTCCTACTCTTATCTCATGATGGAAAAAAGATAGACTTTTGTTTTGTAATGTTTTTTTCATCACAAATGACTTCTATCAACTTATTACTTCATTGATCTTACACTTTGTTAAATAGAAATCCCTAATTTGGGGGGGGGGTTGTTTTATTGGTTGGTTTTGGGGTTTTGGAGGAAGGTGTTTTCTGTTTGGTTGACTTGTTGGTTAGTTTGGGTTTTCAAGACAGGGTTTCTCTAGGTAGCTTCGGCTGTCCTTAAACATGCTCAGTAGACTATGAGTTTGCTGGCCTCAAACTCATAGAGTTCCACTTGCCTCTGTCTCTCAATTGTTGGGATTTAAGGAGTGCACCACCTCTGTCTGGCTAGAAGTTTCTAATTTTGATGTAATAAATTTCATCTTTTTCTCAAAATTTTGCTTCTGCTATTTAAATATTGTTTAAAGTTTTCATGGGCCCATCTTTTCTAATTTGTCCTATACTTTCTTCTGTAACTGCAATATTTCATTTCTTTTTAGATCTTTAATCTGATATGTAACTGTGACATGTTGCTCAACTTTTCAGAGATTGATTCTTCCAATCTTTGAAGTATAGATGATAGAGGACTCTATGGGTTGTCATGAAGAATGAATGACAGTGTACATAAAATTCCAATGTGAGTGTCTGCTACATAGTATCATATAAATGACTGTATAGTTAAAATAAATGCATTTAGTTACAGTATTTCTGAGTCATAGAGTATCTGAAGACATAGCAAAAAACATAAAGATAGTTTCAGAAATACAAACCAACAAAAAATAAATTTTTACTTTTTTCATAATCAGAAAATAGTGGCAGCAAGGGCATTAAAAAGTCCTGATGTAGGCTGATTTTGTTTCCTCTCTGTAGAGTTTCATGGGGTGCGTGGATTTGATCTTTGCAGCTCTGCATTCTCTAAAATTACCAAAAATTTGTTTTTAGTCTTTTCAATTCCCATTCTCACTTTCTAGAGTAAGAACTAACTGTCTTAAAAGAGCTGGTAGACTGTTGTTCTGTGCCACATCTGGATACTATCTTCCTAAAAGCTTTGTTCAGAACATTCCCTGTTCCCTGCCATACCTCCATAAGTGGGAAACCCATCAAGCACCACCTTAGTTAGAGTGAATACCAGTTGTCTTGCCCACCTAGAGCAGCTTGGTCCCACTATTTCTGTGGGCAATATACTTTTCCCTGTGTATTAGTGACTTTTTATCAATACTATGACAGAATACCCAAATAAAGAAACTTAAGGAAGGAAGGGTGCATTTAGTTCACAGCTTAAATTCATGATAAATGTGTGAGTTGGTTGATCATGATGTATTCAAATAAGAAGCGGATAGATGTATGCTATAGAAGTATCCAACTGCCTTCTTCTTTATATTTAGCCCATAACCACAGCCCATGGAACAGTTCAATCCACATTCAGGGTGGGCTTTCCCTCCTCAGGTAACCTCTTTGGAAACGGTCTCTTAAACATGTACAAAACTTTGTATTTAAGGTGACTCTAAATCTCACTGGGGTGGAAAGATTAGACAGCACACATCTATCCCTTATCAAATTGACAACCTTGCGCTCTAAAGCCTCATATTCAACTCATAATACACAGGGTACTTTCCATATCCAGAAGTCTCCAGCATCTTAACTAATACAAAATTGTTCAAAACCGTAAGTGCAGAGTCTCTTAAATGTCTCAGTCAACTTCTTATCTGCAAGTCCCTGTAAAAATTAAGAAGTAAGTTACACCTTTTTTATAAAAAACAATATTTATATTACATATAGAGATATAATTTATATATTAAATTATACTATAATATGTAGGTAGAGTTTTTGTCAGGACCACTGGCTCCCCAAAAGCACACAGAGATTTATTATTAATTATAAATGCTCAACTGATAGCTTAGGCTTATTACTAACTAGCTCTTACAACTTAAACTAACCCATATTTCTTAGCTACACTCTACCATGTAGCAGTACCTTTTTTCAGCACAGCATGATCATCTCTCTTCTCTCCACAACTCACTGCTGACCCATCCTCTTTCTTCCCTAAACTCTTTTTGTATGCAAATCCCATCTAACCTTTTCCTGCCTAGCTACTAACCAGTCAGTTCTTTATTAAACCAATGAGAGTAACAAATATTAACAGTGTATAAAAAGATTGTTCCACAGCAATAATAGAAAAAGCTTGATATGGCTTTGAATAGAAAAAAGGGGGAAATTTTAATTATAAAATCACTCCCCCAGAACATATTTTCTACACTTTTTTGAAATTGTTTGATGCATCTTCCAATCTACAATGGCACACAACAAACATTCCAGTTCCAAAAGTTAGGAATGGAAAATAGTGAGAGAAGACAAGACCAAAACAAGACTGAAACCCGAAAAGGAAAACACCAAATGCTGCAGCTCCGTATCTGACATTTGAGACACATGATAGAACCATCTGATGTCCAACAGTCTTGGGAAGCCCCAGTCCTATAACCTCTGGCGACCTTCATTGTACTTTTATGGTTTTCCTCAGTGCACATGACACAGTCGTGACACGGCCTTCTTCCTGAGGTTTCCAAGGAAACTCAGATTTCACTTGCGTAATTGCCTAGTTTCGTGAATGATTTCTTGAGGCCTCCTTTCAGGAAATCTGATCCTTTTACATATTACCTAGCCTTACAAGCCTATATTCTCTCTTGAAACTGATCCACCAATCAGTTTCTAGAATTATAAGGAGCCAGACACACATACAAACCCTGTTTGATTCTTTGGGCATGAACTGAGTGATGACAGTTTTATAGGTAGGAAGAAGCATGAAGATGAGGTGGGCTAGGAACACAAGGAAATCTAAGGGAATGTGGGCTAAGATTCAGAAAAATTTTACAAACAATATTTTGTACTGTGTTTAGAGCCCAAATGTGTCTTAAGTTCCTTGTGATCTGTGTATAGCAAGAATTTATTTGATGACCTTTTATCTATGTTTTGTCTTATCAGTCTATAAAACTGCACTTTAGAAACCACTTTAGGATTTCATTTACTAAACGAAAGTTCCTGAGTTGGTGATATAGTTTCATGGGTAAAAGCACTTGCTACACAAACCTGAGTTAGATTCTAGAACTCATGGTAGAAGGATAGAGTAAACTCCTGGAAGCTGTTCTCACACATGCTGTGGCATGTACACATCACTTCCACACAAGCACATAACATAAATATACAATAAATATTAATTCTTTAAAAATGTATAAGGAGAGAGTTTCTTAGATAAGGAAAAGTATACTGAAACACTTTGCTTAATATTTTACATCCCCTCAACAATGTAACTCTAAAAACCACCCCAATCCTATAGACAGCTTTTGTCAAAACACTTATATGGCTAAGGGTGTAGCTCATTTGAGTACTTGCCTAGTATGTACAAAGACGTTGGTATGGTCCCTAGCACTATATAATCATGACATGGTATCAAATGCCTGTAATCAGAGAACAGAGGTAGGAAGAAAAGGAGTTCAAAGTCAACCTAAGATATGTGAGAATATGTCTCAAAATAAGAATAAAATGGATCCCTGGGTAAAATGCTTGTTGCACAAGCACAAAGACCTGAGTTCTGATTCTCCAGAACCCATATAAGTCTAGAGGTGGTAATATATGCCTATAATCCCAGATCCTACAGAAGGACGGGAGGCAGAGACAGAATCTCTGGAAGCTTCTGAGTCAGTTAGCTTGGTATATCCAGCAGTGAACAACAAAGAGACACTGTCTCAAGCAAGATGGAAGTCAAGGACCAACACTCAAAATTGTCCCCTGACACACATGTCATGTCGTGGTCATATCCACACTCACACACATGTCTACAAATGTACATGTGTGCTTAAACATGTCCATGTACACAAACAAGCATGCACAGAGAGATTAAAAATTAATAATACCACATTTTACACAATGATTGCTAACTGAACTAAGTATATGGAACATACCTGTGACTCCAAAATCCCAGAAATTGGGAGGATCAGGAATGAATATCATGAGTGTTGAATTGGTCTGATCTATAAAACAAAACCCAATCTCAAAATGCTTCTTTAAAGGACACTTAATGTGATTATTCCCACTCTCGGGCATGTCCTACTGTTCTGTTACATACCTGTCCTCCTCTGTTTAAGTCTGTATTCCATGAACATGCTATGTCAGGAATAGAAGGACATACCTGTGTCTCTCCACAACATCCAAATTTATTGAATAAGCAATAAAGTTGCAAGTCATGTCAGTTTGTTGATTGTAATTTGCCAAGTAATCCCAATATTGCTTTGATAGCTGGTAGTTATCAATAACATAATAATATAACTCCTTTATTCTAATAATGCATGTGTTCATATGTGTACAGTAAACCTGTGTGTTTGCATGTTCACATGTAA